AACTATGATAATAAGATTGTCAATTAACTGAAGCTTTTCATATCAACATTTATATTTTCAACTCTTTTATCAGTATAAAAATTTCTTTTTAGCAATTTTTCTGAATAAGTAATATAAAAATCGTATTTTAATTTATTTCTCCCTTTTATTATATTATTTATTAAAACATTTATCAAATAGTGACATTAATTATTTAAAAATATATTTAAGTTTTTCTTATAACCGTGCGAAGCGCGGACATGTACACTAGTTAATGATAAGGGTAAATTAGAAACTAAATGTAAAATTATCCATTTATTTCATAAAGTGGACATCATTTCAGACATCTCAAAATAGTATAGTGGACAACTATTGTTAAACAAAGGGAGTATGTCATTTCATTATAAACTTTTAAGTTTAATTCCAGAAAATAAATTTCACCCAGCATAGTTTGACATTTTAAAGTCAATTTAAAGAGAAGGAAAAAAAAACTGCATAGAGGGAGTAGTAGTACTACTCCCTATCTCTAATTACTTGTCCATTTTTTTTTTATAGTTGTCCTTAATTACTTATCCATTTTGACAAATCAAGAAAGAACAACTTTTTTTTACCTATTATATCCTCAATTAAATGAATAATTAATTTGAAAAATGCAGAACTTTTCATCAACTTCATAATTAATAGGGGTAAAATGGTAAATTTACTATGTCATTAATTAATTTCTTAATAAATGTGCCAATTCAAAAATGAACAAGTAATTAAGGACAGAAAGAGTATATATTATTGTAAAATTTATAATAACTGAGCTTGACCAAATACTCAATTTATCATTTAAAAGTTAAATTGAACAAAAATCATGTGACCGGGTGAAAATTAATGCGGGAAGGAGAGAAAAAGTTGGATCATGTGAAAAGTAGTACTAAGAAATTTAATGGAGGACAATAAACGAAAGGGACACATTGGTTTCAAGATAAATATAACATAATTAGGCTAACAATGTCAGAATTAAGATTTAAAATTTATAAATTTAAAATTCTATACTTTATAAGTTTTAAATTAATATTTTCTTTTTATATTTAACACTAACTTTCTATAGAATTTTAGTTGAAATTATTGAATTTGACTGAATTAATAACCTTACCCACACTTGTGAGGAGGTATGATAAAAAGCTTAATTTGGTTTAGGACTATGAGTTTGTATTGACATTGCTATTAAAAAAAGTTATTTTTAGAAGCATTTTTTAAAAATGTTTTTTTAGAAAAGTGATTTTGAAAAAAGCAATTCGTGTTTGGCTAATTCATTTGAAAAGTATTTTTCATAAGCAAATTGTGTTTGATTAATTTAAAAAAAAAATAATGTTTTTGAGGGTCAAATTACGAAAAAAGTCAACTATTAATGCACTTCTAATATTAAAATTATTTTATAGAGAGAAACTATTTTAAATATCTATTATAAAAAGTTAATTAAATTTTTATTTTTAAAAAATTAAAATTCACAAGTTTAACTTTTTAATCAATATTATACCTTGTTTGGGAGGCTTAAATCTTTGATTGTTATTTTCTTCATCTTTTTCCTCATCTTGAAAATATTATTGTTACCTTTTTTCTAATTCTACAAAATAATATGTAAAATAATATATATAATATATAATATAATAATATATAAACGCAAAATAAAATAAATTATAATTTTTTTATATTAAATAAAAAATAAAATTCTTAAATGAAGTTTAACCAAACTTATGAAATATGCTAATTAATTAATAAGAAATATATTGATAAATATGTAATTATGTATATATGAAAAAAGAAATTTTAGTCTTGAGAAAAATAATTTTTTGTTTCTCCTTCTGTTTTTTTAAAAAACATAAATTTTTAGCTTCTTTCGAACAACAGAAAAACTGTTTCTACTTCCATTTAAATGTACTTTTACTGATTTTTCAAACACTTAATTTTTCAATAAAAATATTTTTGCCTCCCAACAGCAATGTCAAACCGGCTCTATATATCCCGTGCTTGCCACAAATGAGATATGATTTACCCGTAATTAGTGTCCGCAATCTTATTACTTAATTGGTTCTTAGTAACGATTATCTTATCATAAATAGAGATTTAACCATGATAATAGAGAATTAGTCCCTCTTTTCATAACTATTTACCATGGAATAAAATATAATTCCTTCAGAAATCAACTCATTTGGTATATGAAAAACAAGAAATTCCAACTGTAGCATTAGCAAGGTAGGTATAGCCCATACATCTTTAGGAATAATTATCGTAAAATTGTAGATTCTTTGACCAACAAATATAATAATAATAATAATAATAATAATAATAATAATAATAATAATGAAATAAACATTACAATACAGTTGCCCACTGATAATAATAATTAATAAATTCAAATCACTAGTTCACCAAAGTACATTTGTTCTTTTTCCTGCCAGAACTAAAAGTAAGTACATAAATATTAGTAGTAGAATGGTTTGACTTTTTTAATACAGAACATTTGTGTTCAACTTGGCAAATTATAACTGATGAATTATTGATTATTGATTATTGAATATTATATGGAAGGTAGCTTCAAAGACTATCACAATAATGATATAATTTATTTATTATAATTCATGACAAAGTTAATGCGGTTGGCCAAAACCTTGATAGTATTATTTTTCTTATCTTTTAATTCAAATAATTTTTTTAATTTGAGACATAAGGGACCCTGGAAAACATTATAAAATTTCTTCTAACCTACAAATGTAAGGCAAGGTCCTTTATAAATTAGGTTAATACATTCTTTCTATCATATATTTATAATGATGATTTACGTTATTATTAGCTTCAACTGTAAGGCAAAACCTTTATCTTTCATTAAAGTCCTTTAAGCAAATTAGATTCCTCATTATCAGCCGTATTAGTATTTTAAAATAACTAACCGACAGTTTAAAGAAGATTAAAAGAAAAAGAGACTTTTCTTTTTTTATTTCTTTAATTTGGTATAGTTCTGGTCCATGTGAATTAGGTGTTAATTAAACAATTCACATTGAACTCCCGACCCGATTCGATTCCCGAGACCCAACTTCTGACCACAATATGAGATTCTATCTCGACCCGAGATCTAGGATTTGACCTCAACCCGAAACCCAGCTAACTGTTATGACCCGGGTCTCGACTCCTAACGCCTACCGGGGATTCAACTTTTGATCTTGACTCTCAACCTCGATGCCAATCTGAAACCCGACCATAACCCGGGTCAGATTGGTGTCATGAGTCAAAGGTGAAGTTGAATGAGATATTTGATTAGATTTGAGGAGAAAAAATAATCTATTTTAAATATTTTTCAAAAAATTTAAACTAACCAAACATAAAAAAAAATTAAAAATATTATACGAAAAATGTTTTCCATAATACCAGACACAAACCTCGTTTCGTTTTCATATTTTATCCATACTAATCACGTCCAATAATAGTAAAAATTGAATTAAAAGAGGAGTATTTCCTCTTTAATATAATCTTATACGGTTAAATGGGTTTGTTGAAAATAGTACTTCCTTAATTAACTTTAGGCTGATTTTTGATTAGTTGCATCAATTAACTTGTTTAGTCATCACTTTTTTAGGAATGCAAGGTGGGTGCAACTAAGCCTATAGCGCCAAAAGTAGGTCACTAGTTTTTGCAATTATATGTGTAATAAATATTTTTTATTACTGATAATAATGTTTGATCGTTACAATAGTAATAACTCAATTATAAAAATAATAACTTAAATTAAAAAATTCGAGAATATTCTCATAAAATGTAATTTATACCATCAGTTAACAACTGAGCCCTCAATTGTTAATAACTCGAAATTAAAAGTATATATTCTCTGTTGAAATATGCTTTTAAGTTTCTTAAAAGAAACGCTCATAATTTACAATGAAGTTGGATTGATTCAATTTACAATAAGTTAAAATACATTGAAGATCATAATAAGGTACTGCTTGTAAATAAATTTTGTACTCAATTAATTTTTTAAATTTCTCAATTGGGTGGACGATCATTATTATTTAGTATTTGATACTTCTAGAAATCATATGTGCCGATCTCCCTACATAAATTACATGAAGTAGCTTAACTCAATATTCATATGCTAATTGGATAGTACAAAATAAGTTAATAATTCATACTCTCTCTAGTCCATATCAAGTGAATCGTAGAGACTTTTTTCACGGTACAAAATAAATGAATTATTTAAAGTATAACCCTTTATTTAATGAGATTTTAAAACTACTTTACATTTTATAGAGAACATTTTGATAATAATCAAAAGAAAAATAATCTTTAATTTACGTCTTTAAATATTTTTCTTTGGGATATGTCATATCCCAATTACGAATTAGATGGAGTACACGTTATTTTTTTTTTATTTCTATAACACTTCCATTGTGTAATTAGCAGTAAAATGACAATAACAATAATACCATATCTAATATAACATCATGAATAAGGTTGGATGAATCAAAATTTCAATAAAATCATTATTATAAAGAAAAATAGGAAAATGAAGAAGACATGACATAGGAAAAACAGGAATAGTAACAACCTGAAAAGGGAAGAAAAAACTTGTTGAATTGGTCCAGAGTCCACACAAGGTCCACAAGAGTCCAGGATGTCATCCACCCAAACCCCAAGTCAGTGAGTTACTGACATGCCTTCCCCTCATCCAAACAAAGCCTGTCATTTGCTTCCTAACTTTTTCTTGTTTCTTTCTATCCTTTCCTCCCTACAAGTAAGTAAAAAAAGAAAGACTATACAAAGTTACTCTACTTTTAGCACACACTACTATTTCATTACATCACCTTATTGTGGATTATCTTCTTCCAAGATTGGTAAGAAAACTAAAAAAGCCAAATTTATGGTATCAGAATTTTAGTATATGATAATAACATTTGTCTATTAATTTTGTCTTAAGAAGCTGATTTTTCTAATACTGGTATGTTAATGGCAGTAAAGTTTTCTTTTTTATTTTCTTTCTGAATTCTGATAATCAGTCATCTTCATAAGAAATTAAAAAAAGGGGTTGGGGTGCCAACTAAGAGTTTGCCTTGCACCTCTTCCATGACTTCCCTTTTACTGTTTGTAAGGCATTTCCTTATCACCTACCACTGATAACTCCATCCTTCCTTTCCTTCTCTGTCATATTACTATTCTAAAAAAGTTGTCCACAAAAAATAAATCATATACATTATTACAATTCTATGTATCTTTACTCTCTTTTGTAAATTTAGTACTTTTGTTGTTGTTAACTGGTTTACTGTTGAGGGGGGCAGGTGGTGGTCTAAGAAAACACCATCTCAGCTTAGATTTGGACTTGAATCTCTCAATGCTGTGAAGAATCAGATACAAGATTGTAATATTAGTTTTGCTATTTAACTTGTGTTGCTCTAAAGAGGGTTTATTTGTGTGTGTTCTTGGAATTTGGTTATTTTGACATTGTCTTTTGGGGTTTTCTTGGTCAAGATCTGTAGGGATTGGTTAATGATGATGGAGTTCTTGAGATCTGGGCATTGAAGATTTGATATTGGGTAATATCTCAGGAAGGTATGGGGATTATAAAAATGTGAACTTTCTTAAAGTCATCAACTTTATTTCTCTCTGTTTCCATTGCTTTGCATTTCTTGTTTTAATTTACCAACATTGGCATCAGGGGTTTCACAGGGGCATTTGTTTGTGTTGCTTTACATTCTCTGTTAGTGGATCTTGTTATATGATCTCTTGGTTGACTGGGCCAGTTTATGAATTTGCTGTTTGCTTTTTTGTTGTTTGATCTCTACTCATTGGTAGTGTAAGGGGGTGGGATGTGGAAATGCTCATATTTTCTGTTTGACTTGGAGTTGCAATTAGGACTTCAGTTACATATTGGGTTTGATTAAACTAACACTGTGTTAGATGTGTGTTTTTCGTGTAATGTTGCCGATCATCATTCAATTTATACTATTTTTATAGGTCTGTTGACATCCTAGAAGATGGCTGGTAGTCTAAACGATGAGTTATCCAAAAAAACTGCTGTTTTTGGTCTCAAGGTCTGGCAATTGATCGGAATTTTTGTTGGGATTTTTATTGTGGCAATCCTCTTACTGTTGACATTGTATCTCACTTTACGGAGGAAGTCGAGAAGAGGTACAGACAATCTCCCTGTTAGCCAAATACCAACAGTTTCTAAAGAAATTAAAGAAGTTCGGGTTGAGCAAGTATCAACAAATGATTTTTCTCCACGAGACGGAATTCTTCTCACCATTCATGACAAAACCAGTGATAAAGAATCAGATAAGGTTCTGGTTCATCTTGGAATGGGGAAAAAGAATGGAGATAACAGCAGTCAATCAGGTTCCTTCCATCATGTTGACAAGGACTGTTGTGGATCACAATCAGGAGAAGAAGGGAGTTCATGCAAAAGTGCAATGTATAAAGCTTATAATTCACATCCAATAACTGCTCCTTCTCCTCTAACCGGATTACCTGAGTTTTCTCACTTGGGTTGGGGCCACTGGTTTACATTGAGAGATCTTGAGCTTGCAACAGGTCGGTTTTCAAAGGAGAATATTCTCGGTGAGGGTGGATATGGCATTGTCTACCGGGGGAATTTGATTAATGGAACACCTGTAGCTATTAAGAAGCTCCTCAACAATCTGTGAGTTGATAAAATCAAATTTAATGCTTTCCTTACTGATCCTTTTGTTTTAGTTGCCGGCTTGAGTTTGAATTTAAGATCTTTGTCCCAGAGGCCAAGCAGAGAAAGAGTTCCAAGTGGAGGTTGAAGCCATTGGCCATGTGCGTCACAAAAATTTGGTCCGCCTTCTAGGATACTGCATTGAAGGAACTCACAGGTATTTCCCCATATGGAAGTCCCTGATAGTCCTATACCTTTTTTGGACACGAAAAATGAAGCTTTGAATTGTTCATTTACTTTCATGCGCTTGTGAAGTAATTGGATGAGTATTATGTTCTTTCTTGTTTAGCATTTCTAACAGCTCTGTTCTAATTCATTATCTCAGGATGCTGGTTTACGAATATGTCAACAATGGCAATTTGGAACAGTGGCTTCATGGAGCCATGCGACACCACGGGTATCTAACTTGGGAGGCTAGGATGAAGGTTCTCCTTGGGACAGCTAAAGCGTAAGTTCATTCAGCTAAATCTATTTTGGAATAATATAGATCTCTTGATGTGCTATCATTTCTTGCAGTCTTGCCTATTTGCATGAGAATATTGAGCCCAAAGTTGTTCATCGAGATATAAAATCAAGTAATATATTGATTGATGATGACTTCAATGCGAAGGTCTCTGATTTTGGTCTGGCCAAACTGCTTGGTGCTGGTAAAAGTCATATCACAACTCGAGTCATGGGTACCTTTGGGTTAGTTTCTTCCTTCTGCTCCTTTTGATTCCATTCCAGCTTGCTTCATGTTCTGGTCTTCTGGATTTTACAATCTTCAACTTCTGGTGTCCTGTTTTATTACCTCTTTAGATATAAAAAGTTGAAACAGAAGTTTTGCAGTATTATATTATTTCACATCCTTACAAATATTTGACAGGTATGTGGCTCCTGAATATGCAAATACTGGTCTCTTGAATGAAAAGAGTGATGTTTATAGCTTTGGGGTAGTGTTGTTAGAATCGATCACAGGAAGAGATCCTGTGGACTATGGCCGTCCTGCCCAAGAGGTTTGTTATCCTTCGTCCCTTATCTTAAGATCTAATTAGCACACTGATGAAAATATCTCATCTGCATCTTCATTATTGAAGAAGCTGTAAAACTGATTGTGCCCAGATCTATGGCAGAAAAGATCTTTATTAATACTCGTCTTGCTGGTTTTCTGATATTTGTTTCATTGTCATTTTCTATTTAGTTTCCCTTGAATTTTTCCTGATTACTTGTTCTTGATATATCATGTACCATAACCAATGTTCACATGCTATGAATCTTTGAGAAGGATATTCCAACTCACCTGATTCCAGCGATTGATCTTGTCATAAACCATGCTCAATACTTCAGCCTTCTGCTGAATTATAGTTTAAGAGAATGTCCCATGCTTTAGCCTTGTTCACTATTCATTACATCATCTGAACAAAAAGCTAGTATTGGTCAGCCCCCAAGGCCTAACTCAAGTGGCAAAAGGTGGAGGATTTGTGGCTTAGGTCACAGGTTCAAGCCCCACACCATGCAAAGCGAAGCCTGGTATTTAAGTGGAGAAGGGTAGAGGGGCGGGCCCATTATCCACCGAGTTTAGAAGGCTGTGATTGGTCCAAAGGGCGGGTCACAGACGGATTTCTCGGTTATCAAAAAAAAAAAAAAAAAAAGCTAGTATTGGTAAATGGTAATGCTGCTATTTCTTGTTTCTTTACGAGACAATATTTGGTTGTCTTTCATCTCTTTTTACCATGTCTTAATGATACATATTTTGTACATATCAAGACAACATTCATAACAACTTACTAGTGACCTATCAATTTTTTTATAGCTATCTAGTGTCCGAATCTGGTGCTTTGTGTCGTCAGTATGTATATCTTCCGGCTGTCCATTAATTGGTATAAATAGTAATCTTATACCTCACGCCATCAAGCCCAACGGAAAGGTGAATAAAAGCTGATTAATATTTGAATTTTATGGTCTTTCACTACCAATGACCCACAAAGTTTTATATTATGACATGGATATTAGTAGAATCACATCTGAATCTTTCCAACCTCGGTAAGATTTCTCACCAGAGCTTGAGTTCTACTGGAGGATTTGTCAAGCAAATCTATTTTTCATTTTGGCCTCTAAATTTTTATGTTGATGTCCTTTTCAATCTCCCTCACCACCTTTTTTATACGAATATCCTACTCTGATTTTTGCTCTACAAACAGACTCTTAAAGTATAAGACTTATGTGGTTGCAGGTGAATCTTGTTGATTGGTTGAAAATGATGGTTGGAAGCAGGCGCTCTGAGGAAGTAGTAGATCCAAATATTGAAACAAGGCCACCAACAAGAGCTCTCAAAAGAGCCCTTCTGACTGCTCTGAGATGTGTTGATCCAGATTCTGACAAGAGACCAAAGATGAGCCAAGTTGTTCGTATGCTTGAATCAGAGGAATATCCCATACCAAGAGAGGTTGGTGTCCTCTCTTTTCTTCTCTTGCAATGTTATGGACCCTCAAGTTTCTTATTTTGTTTTAACTGTGATCCCTGTTATAGATCCAATAAATTCTGTCTTTGTTTGAACAGATGTGTTAATTTTGTGAAGCTTACTAGTAGTTTCTTCTTATTCAATCTGCATTGCTTGTAGAAGGTGTTGGATAAGCATATTCATGTCCTAGAATTTATGAATATGGCTTTGTGTATTTGGTCATTCTTCCCTTATGTAGGAACTTTTTCAACTGATGGAGGGAGGGGTGGGGTGTTGGTGCCATTCTTTATCAAATGAGAAACTTAGGCATCATTTTCATTTTCTCCACTGCAGGATCGAAGGCAACGAAGATCTCAAGCAGGTAACGGGGAGAGTGATTCTCAAAACTACGACACTGACAAGAGTGACAACCCAGATCCAAGGTCGGAAAGTAGAAGGAACCATCAAGTATAACCATCTAAGACACAGCTTTCTGGTCTTTTATGAGGAGTGTGCCACTTACAAAGCTTTCATCATAATGAAAGTCTACCGGATCAAAATGAGTAGGAGGATGAACTGTTTCTGCTCGTATATTGCTGGTCAGAGATTGACTACTTTTCTCCCCCCCTTTAAGGGTTCTATTCTTTCTTATTATCTTTTATTTGTACCTTGTTTTTTCTTCTTATTTTGGTTCTTTCCTTGTATGAAAGTAGATAGGGAGTTAATTGTTGTGGACTTGATGGTCTTGTAACTAAACTGGAAGCAATCAGGGGCGGGGTTTGTGTACAGAAGAATTTCTTGCTTCGGTATTCAACATTGTTCAAGTAGTATTGTAATTTATTTTCTTCTAATGTAAATTCTAGCAGAAACAAAATATGCAATGTGATTTCGTTTCATCTGCCTAAGCATTGACAGGAAGAATTACTAGTTATTGTGTTGGTGAGAGGCAAAATCACTTTCAGGAATAACCTGCTGAGTCATTTTCAACAGGTTTCTCTGGTGGAATAGTTGTGATGCACACAAGTTGGCCTCATCACACTTGTGATACCATCCAAAGTATAGTTTGGATGATTCACAGGCTGGTTTGGATGGTCCTACTTCAACTGGTACTGATTAGTACTACTATGGTAAAACAGCTGTACTCTCTTAATGTGTCGTAGCAACAAGCAAAAGCTAGCATTTTTATTAATGCTCGACAGTTCTTGTTTGCAAATAGTTGATAGGAGTCACCATCACCATTCACTATCCACCCCTTATACTAAAGATAAAGGCAATGATTTGGCTGAAGACCCCTTAAAACATCATTTCATCTTTAGACTGGGAAATAAATTATAACTAACATTTTCCTGACTTTGAGAGACAGATTTATTGTGAACAACCATAACCTTTCTACCCCCCACAAAGGTAAGTGGGTAAAGTCTACGTACACTTTACCCTCACCAAATCCCACTTGTGAAATTACGTTGTTGTAATAATCTAGCATTAGTAATCATTTGAGTCGCCGCACCAATTATAATATAATACTCTAACTAATATCAATATAATGTGGGAGACCACACAACCCTTTAGTTGAGAACCAATGAAAATGGTTTATAATTAGAAAAAGAAACTATAGAATAAAGTCTTAGAGATCTGTTTATGTAAATATATAAAACAAAAAATAAAGAAGCAAAGATTTTTGCCACTGCCAAATGCATGTTTTCTTCTGACAAATCCAGCTAAAACATATTAAAATGCCACTAACTCATGTGGTTAGTTATAGCTAAACGTAATGAGGCTGACTCAGCTTATAGATTGAGACAGGAACCAAATCTCACATCTCAGGATAAGGTTGCTAAGTCACTGAAATTATCCTAGTGGCTTGCTAAATTTTTTCCTCCACATTCAAACAGGACAGAAGCTACATCATTATTTAGCTGTCTAAAAAAGATTTGACATAACAAACCACAGAGTTAGCAGGAATCCAGTAGAACAGTCTAAATTCGTGTAAACTGATCAGAAAACTACCTTTACAAAGAGAGAGAGAGATGGACATAACATTTTTTAACATAAGAAGACTAGTTAGACTTGTACAATTGACCCTCATGGCAAAGACTGAGGCGCCTTCTCCTTCAAATAATAGACTATTTTGTACTAAAAACTGTATGGCCTGCGTAAATCTGATCAATGTGATTATGTACATCAGCTGAGACTTTTTTTAAACAGAGAACTAAAGAATCCAAATTTATGCACAAAAGCTGGTTGATTGTTTCTCCAGAGGTATTTTGCATTTGGTACATCTTACTGTTTGACTGGGGATTCAGGAGGTTTCAGCCGTTGCTGTTCATATTCCTGCTTCAGTTCCACCAAATTCTTGGAAACCTATTAAATGAAAAGGATAAATACAAATGAGAAACAGCTTAACGAGATGACACAGGGGGACAGCAATAAAATGAGGATTCAGTCAGATGCTGAGAGCCTTTTGTTTCCCTTTAGATTGTTTCAGTCTTGTGTTTATATCCAGATTAAGTGTTCTTTCTGAGAAATCAAATATGTAAAGAAATATCATCAAGTATCCTATAATTACTCTTTAGCTAATAACAATTCCTTCCCTTTAATCCTTGCATAGGTTTGGAAACAAATCTTTGCCACATACAGCTTTATAGCGCTACTTAACCGACAGGCTTGCAATCTGTATGCATTCAATTTTATTTAATATTCATCAGTTATCATGCTAGAGTTTTGCTTCTGAACTTAATCCATTTATGAAGCTCTCATTGAGCCAAACTCAGCAGCCTTACAACAAGCCTGTACTGGTTAGATTCTACTTGTATCTACTCAAACTACTTTAGTATATAGATCCACATAGAGACAAAAAAAAATACTTTCTAGGTTCACAAGCCTATGGCTGCTAAACATCCACCAATTTAAGTTCAACCTATGAACTGCTGATTAACCACACCACTACCACATGAGGAATGCATCAAAATGGCTAAGGAAGATGTACAAATAGACATGCAAGAGAAAACACAAGCACAACTGATGCAAAACTACCCACAAATAAAAAAGTTGATGGCTGTGATCATGTATAACAATGAGAAATAAATTTCAATACAAGGTAGAGTGCCTAGTTTGAGTTGAACATTTTCACACTCCAGACTGAAGCTTGACATAAAATTTTCAAAGTTATGAGGCATCCATCACATGTACAGGAAACGTACAAACACTGGTTAAGAACTACAGAACAACTGAAATGACGCACAGTAGATAACAAGACACAGCACCAGAGAAAGAAAACAAACATTACTTAGACAATTCGCTCAAGGAACAACAGTCAAAGAACTTGAACTAATTATGCAAGCAAACAGTGTTTTATTGCCTAGTTCTATAAAATAAGAATAAAACAATGTTTTGTACGTGATATTGAGAAGCAGTGCATGCGCTTTGACTACAAATGTTTTCTTACTTTTCATTTTTTTATTATAGTTTTTTATTTGGTTTCTTCGGAAATGTCTTAGAAGGGCAAGGATGTTTTTCCCTAGCTGGTGAAGTCAAATTAGGATTAATCATGTGAACCTCCCTTCAAATTGCTAAAATTGTACTGCATATTGCTTGTCTTGTACAAAATCATTACAAGTTAATGTTTCCATTAGTTTCCTTTTATCTGTGTGTCAATTCCAATTTATAATGTTTTCCTCAGTTATTCCAACTTCATCCCTTCCCAGAAAACAGTCTTTCGAAAGATAAATGGGAAATCAAAAGTATCACTCTGAAAAATAATATAGGAACCTACAAGCATTTGTCTAACCCTTACATATCACTGTTAGGCGAGGAGAGTCTTGGCTAATCACAGGGAAGGAGGGGGGAAGGGAGAGAGAGAGAGAGAGAGAGAGAGGGCTAGCCTTGATTGAAAAAGCCATTGGTAAAAGTATATCTGGATTCATGGCATCCTCAGGGAAGTTGCGCAAAGCATGTATGAGTTTCTCAAATGGCAACTTTACCTGCGAATAAGCGAGTGTTATAGTTGTACTAACCTGTAGGAGCAAGAAAAAGTAGCATTTATAAACTTTTCTGTATTTAAAACTTACCAGATCATCGTGGCAATATTTCAATAGAGCCAAGCCAACTTTGAAGACTACTTTAACACCCTGGTACAGTGAACTCGGTAAGCTCAACAGTAAATCCAGGCATCAGAGAGTGGATATAATAATGGTAGATTACTAACCTCAAAAAGAAAGACATCCCAAATTCTGAGAGCCAAGTGAAATGGAAAAGAGTACGAGAAAACTGTTATGAACCACTGACTGGCATACATGCTGGGATTTATCATTTCCTGAGCAAAATGTTCACCCAACTTCGGCATGTGCTCTTTCACCAAATGATCAAACTGAAAGAGGTATTGCTGGACTAGAGGCAATCCTACCTAATCCGCATGTTCAACATTTATTATTTTAATATAAAGTAGGCCATATGACAGATGTTATGTAATCAAAACAAAGACTTCCTAATACATGGAAGCAGCTGAAAGTCTCAAGAGAAATATAGCAACTGCCAGGATCAGAGATCATGATAGTAGAGAATTCATGGACATCATAAAAAATGACGGAATTTCATGTAACATCTAATATAATACAGAACTGGACAACAAACAACTTGGTCCATTGCTTCTTCTTCTTCTTCTTTTTTTGCAGTAAATAAATAATTGTGATAAACCAATCAGTTAAGAACGATATATGAGAATCAATGTACCAAGTTGTTTTTTTTTTGAGAATAAAAAAAAAAAAAAAAAACAACTTGGTACATTGATTCTCATATATCGTTCTTAACTGATTGGTTTATCACAATTATTTATTTACTGCAAAAAAAGAAGAAGAAGAAGAAGCAATGGACCAGCTTATCAGAACTTTGACAACTTCAGATAGGTTGAAAAGCAACCTCAAGGCAATTATGCTGCAGCTTCCAACTTCAGTAAAAGTGTTTAAATAACAATATGTGATGCCAACTTTATATTGGACTGAGATCACACAATATGTGATGAGGCCCAACTCTCACTTTATTAGTATATGGAGGAAGAGCACAAAGAACACAAACCGTCCAAGAGAATAAGGCATTTCAACCTTGCCATAAAACTATCCAAAGTTACTTAGAATAATCCTATTGCTCCACATGCAGATGAGATTACCACTCCGTTCCACATCCAGTAGAAACCTTAAAGATACGTTATTGGGGACTTATGTAACTACTAGCATATTAAATGTAAGAATGAAATCATGTAAAAGGTGACCCTAGCTTGGAATATGCCAAAATATTAGACACAATTTAATCTCTATCCAACATTCACCACTCTAAGAATGGAAAAGGGTCAAAAATACCCTTAAACTATCCGAAATAGCTCATATTTACCCTTAAACTATATTTCGGCTCAAAACTACCCTTCCCGTTAAACTATTGGGTCAAAAGTACCCTTCTTATTAACGGAAGTTGTTAAATGCCATGTGGGTGTCACATTGCATGCCAATACTAATTACTCTTTTTTACCATTGCCACATAGACTAAATCCCTAAATCCTAATTACTCTTTTCTTTCCCTCATTTCATTATTTTCCAGAAACGATTTCACCCCTTCTCCCTCATTGAAGTTTCGTTTTTGTCCAGATTTTTGATGTTTATTTCCAGTTTTTACTTAATGTTTGGTAAGGAATTTCTTCATTAGTTCTTTACTTAGTTTATGTCCAGTTTTTGTGAAGTTTATTTCCAGTTTCTCTATTTCTTCATTAGTTCTTTACTTAGTTTATTTCTAGCTATTGACCAACTCTGCTGGTTCTTAACAAACAACAAGCTAGTGGGGGGTTTTTGTATTTGGAGTAGTGTGTTTTGTGCTCAACATGTTTTGTATGAAGTTCAAATATTTGCTTCCCCTGTTAATGCTCCTCATTTTGCAAATTGGTTTATCAAGTTACGATTGTTGGTGTTCTATTGCTGAATGTTTTTTGGTTAGCGGTGATAAAGTTTACTTGTTCAATAACATACTTCAATGAGGGAGAAGGGGTGAAATCGTTTATGGAAAATAATGAAATGACGGGGGGGGGGGGGGGGTAATAGGATTTAGGG